TGAAACGAATCGGGTTTGGATGTGATCAGATACTCTGACATGTTAAAAGACTTGGAAAGGGTCGGGAAGAAAGATACGTTGAGGGTGATGATCATGATCATGTGGGATCATGCTTCATGATGGTATATTTATATCACTTCCTTTGGTTTTTATTTTAGAGTGACTAAAAACAAGATATACACCAAGTAAACTAATTAAGAGCTAATTCCACGTATCTTCGCCGCCGTTTCGGTTATTTTTGTTATGGGTTTTTTATTCTAGTTTGTGATTGCATTATAAAATTATTGATAATTATTATGTAATAACGACATGCGTTACGCACACATATATTATATGTATGGATTAAATTATTGATATAGATAATAGATTTATAAAAGCAGTAATATTCTCGGCACATATCCTCCTTACGTTGTATGAAATAAAATAAAACCAAGGAAAAGAAGAAGAAAAGGGCCTCAAAACGAGCACTAGCAGCAAACGTTTTAAATTAACAAAAGAACAAAGAGAGAGATAGTTTCTGCATAAATTAATGATAAAAATACCGAAAATACCAACTATATATAGGCTAATGGTAAGACCCACTTTTGAGACAATCATAAATTGTATAATCTTTTTTTTGGTTATTCATTTGGTTCAACGAATATATGGGGAAGGAACAGTCACGAGTGGTGGTGAGGGAGTACGATGAAAACACGGACTTGGAGAAAGCAGAGGCGCTCGAGAAGAGCTGCGCAGTCGGGTCTCTCTCGGTGGATCTCATGGGCGACCCACTTGCCCGGATCCGACAATCTCCCTCTTTCCATATGCTCGTCGGTTTTTTTATTTAACTCTTCATCGTTATTAACGGTCGATATATTTGAATATTTTGGTTAATATTGTTGGATGCTTTGCGTTTGACAGGTGGCAGAGATCGGCTACGAACGCAAGGAGATCGTTGGGATGATCAGAGGCTCCATCAAGACGGTGACATGTGGCAACATTGCACCGTTCCACCGTCTTCAAGACGGCGGCGTTTCGCCCGAAAGCACCAAACTCGCCTTCGTCTCCGGCCTCCGAGTCTCCCCGTTTTACCGGTCCGTTTTCCGTCTTAAGAATATTATGTTTCTATATATATATATATATAAGGTGGACGTGTCATATAACCATTGGATTTCAGGTATTATGTAATATACATACATGGGCGCTTATTATTTATCATATAAAACGTGGATGTTAGACTGGCGCGAATAATATTTTCATAATTATTTATATTTTTGTTTGGGAAAAAAATAGGAGGGTGGGCATTGGGCTGAAGTTGGTGCAGAGACTGGAAGAGTGGTTCAGACGAAACGGCGCCGTTTACGCTTACGTGCAAACGGAGAGCGACAACGACGCGTCGGTCAAACTTTTCACCGATAAATGCGGCTACTCCAAGTTCCGTACGCCCACTTTCCTGGTCAACCCGGTCTTCAACCACCGAGTCACCATCTCCCGCCGAGTCACCATCATCAGACTCGCTCCCTCCGAAGCCGAGATCCTCTACCGCAGCCGATTCTCCTCCACCGAGTTCTTCCCCTCCGACATCGGCACAATCCTCAACAACAAACTCTCCCTCGGCACTTTCCTCGCCGTGCCACGCGGCGAGTACTCAACCGGGTCGTGGCCCGAGTCATGGGCGGTTCTCAGCGTGTGGAACAGCAAGGAAGTGTACAGGCTCCAGGTCCGCGGGACGTCGCGTTTCAAACGCACCCTGGCGAAGACCACGCGTTTGGTCGACGGCGCGTTACCGTTCCTGAAGATACCGTCGTTCCCGGACGTTTTCCGGCCGTTCTCTATGCATTTCCTGTACGGAATCGGGGGGGAAGGGCCGCGTGCGGCGGAGATGGTGGAGGCGCTTTGCTCTCACGCCCACAACCTGGCCAGGAAGTGCGGCTGCGCCGTCGTGGCGGG